TGTTATACTCAAACAATGAATCATGGAACACTACATCAAAAACTAATGATGTAATGTATGGTGATTAACATAACATAAAAAAAAAAGATACGAAGGAGAGATTAAGTACTTACTTTCTGAATTATTCCTTTACAGTCATGAGATAAGGCCAGATTTGAAAGAAACATAAAAACCATCTGCTGAACGGCAGTGTTCTCAAGAGGCATCTGGGAAGCCAACTTCAGGATACACCCCATCAGAGATGTGGCAGGGGCCCCTCTATACGCAGCTTGAACCGGATACTGTCCACAACTTGACCAACAAAGAGAACTGCAACCTGAAAAAAAACCAGCCTATCACAATGTCTTCTTAGTTTCACTAGTTAAAAACTCTAAGTAGTGAAGCGTATTCGTCCATCAATGACTTACCCACTAACCTATGAACTGCAAATTGGCACTGAAGGCTACTGCTGATGTCTACATTCAGCCTAATGGATTTGCCATCCTCACTGAGGGTCTAATGATCTCAATGGGGCATATTAAAATACTAAGTTTATTTTCTTTTTAAAGAATAAAATATGCGTAAGAAGTTTTTAAACAGTTCCTTAAAAAGACATCTAAATAAAGACTGTGTAGAAGAACAGAATTTTAGAAACTGGATATAACTTGGTCTAATGTCTTCATTTTACAAAAGGAAAAAAAAAAGGGGGGGGCACAGTAATCCTGGGGCATGGGCAGATAAATGGTAGCAGCCATGTGTGCTAAGTAAGGGCACAGCCTCAGAGAAGCCTGTGACCTGCTCAGAGGGACACAGCTCATAAGCAGCCAGAACCAGCAGTGGTCAACTGGTTTTCCAGAGTCCAGTGTTTTCTCAGTAAATTAAACAACCATATGGATTTATCATGGGAGTAAAACCATCATAAAAGAATTAGAAATTCATTTTACTGTAGTGTCACATAAATCTGAAGTAAATTAACTTGTGAAAGTCCATGCAAGGAGGCCAGCTTATGTAGAACTAGATCAGAATCAAATACATTCTGCAAAATAAAGTCATAAAAGGCAAGTAAACACAAATAACATAGTGATCTTTCCTGTATTCACACCGTATAGCCGTATCCAAATAGCAAGGTTTCTATTAAATCCATTAAATGATCCTTGAAAACAAACCAGATAGGAAAACAAAAGGTTTCTTCCTCAATTTAGTAACCTAACCACAATCTCATATTTACATCAATTTTAAGTATAAAAGTAACATAGATTATAGTTTCAAAAGACTTAAAATATGTTTCTTTTGCTCAGTGTTTAGCAACTGATTTTTTTTTCCCTGCTTACTTCCCTAAACCCTCAACTAAGGCGTGAAGGAGGGTGAAGAAGGACAAGGCGCAGATGCACCGGGCGGACGGTCTACTGCACTGGCCGTGCTGTTAGGGGTGGTGAGCTGGAGGACGCAGCCGCAGGAGACTCTCCAAGCAGAAGTAAGAAGGAGAAAGTCAGTGACAGAATGAAGACAAGGAAATTCTGTGCCATGGTGCACTCCATACACCACAGTGAAAGTTCAGGCATTAAGAACCTGAAAGTCTGTTTATGTCATCGGTTCCTGCTGGTGAAAGACAAGCTGAGTGAGCTCCAGAAATGGACAGCCCAGAGCTGGGGTGGAGGCCCATGTCTGACCATCAAGGAATAAGCTACCCTAAGCACGTGGTAGTGACGAGATGGACTCCGAACTGTTTTGAGTTCCACTCCTTTCTCTGCATATCTTTTGACATCTGGAGAACCCAGCTGCTCAGCAGCTGAATGGTGGCTAGAAGAAAGCATGTGCACTTGCTGACCAGACCCTACATGTATGACCCTGAGTTTTCAAGGGGAAATGAATACTGCCAGCAATCCTACTTCACCTCCACAGTGGGTATGCTTTCCCTCGGCTCAAACAGCTACTTCACACCTCCTCCTCTCTTCTCAAATCACTTCCACCCTCACCTTTGCTCACTCTTGGCTGTTGGGCTCTAACAATGCACGGCCCTTAGCAGCTTCTCAATAAAACACCTGTTAAAGGAATGAAAAGAGGTGTCCCAACGACATCAGTTATCACAAGGTCAATTGTTTCCTGCTTCCCACCTTTCCAAACTTTCCAGTTTCCACCACGCCAGCTCCCACTCTAGAGTCTGTAAAAGTTTTAACCTTTACTTGGTTTTTAAGGTCTTACATCATAATTTTCACTCTCTCAATTTCCTATTAAATTCAATTTCCCACTGCCACACAACCAAGCAGGTTTCTCCCTCTCTATTCCATGAGCTGTCTAATGACTCTTCCTATCTCAACAGACACATACTGAAGTATCTTACAGGACCTATGAGAAAACTTCCCTCTAAACAACACACGCTCTGTAAGTAGAAGAAACACTTCAAAATAGGTATTTGTTTTTCCGGTCCACTTTAACAATATTATTATATAAAGTTAGTATTTTAGTATATTCCTGAAAGGCAGTATTGGGATCTATTTACCATTTGGAAAATTTGCAGTATAGACACAAAGTAGCTGCAGGGCAATTTGCATCAATGAATCATCCATCAAAAGCCAAGGCCAGAGAGAGTGCAAGACAGGAACAAGATGAGCTTCAAGAGCTGCTTCCTGTTGTGAAAAGGAAATACAGACAGCATTAGTCTGAATATATGAAAATATAAAATTAAAATCAAGTAAAAAAAACCAAACCTGTTATAACATAAGGAGAGAAAAACTGAATTTATCTTTGTTCTGGTTAGTGCAAGCTGGCATCAGAATCCTGCAGATGGATTCAGCACCTTGCCCAGGACTGCCCTGACCATGAGCCCAACCAGCCTCAGGAAGTCCCTTCAACACCAGGGTGGCCACAATACACAGCTTAGGTAAAAAAACATTAAAGAAACAGCTTCTAAACATGTAACTTAAGCAAGATGATGATACCTCACTACACTGAATAAACTCTTATACTCTAATAAACTCTAAATATTCTGATATGGTTAAGAAATGGAATTTTCTGGTTAAGTAAACATTCCGATCAGTTCTAAGTTCTCTCCTCCACCTTCTCTCTCCTCTGTATGTACATGTGTGTATACTTGTCTGGTAAGTCTGGATAGATCAGAAGTAGTTTACTGTTTGTAAATAATTTGAATATAGTAAAATTTAGTTAAAACAATATGTTACATCAATAAATTCTTCAGTAATTCATAGTCTTTATTACAAAGATCAGTTACCCCCAAGACAATATTATGTATACAATCTGTTTGCAGTAAATGCAGCAATTGCTTAAGTGAACAGGAATTACCAGGCAATTTATAGACCCATGTGCTCACATGTGGGTATTTATATAAATACACATACCCTATCCAATTTTATGCAGCATTAATGGCAGAAGAGAGTGGGAAGTTATTCCCAGTGTTCAACCCTTTCCATAAGCTTTAAAGTCATTCCCAGTGTTATTCCCAAAGTTATCCACCCCTCCCCACTGTCCATAAGCTTGGAACAGAGTCCTATGATTATAGAGAAAACAGAAACAATTAGGTATAAGCTCTGTCTCTACTCTGTCATTCTGTTCACCTAGTTTATCTGTATTTCCATCCACTCATCCTTCCTGCCCAGAAGTGTGGAATAGGGTGTTCCTCTTCTGTTGGAGGTCAGAAAGTCCATCTGTGTTCTGAAACACGACCTCCCCACCTCCTCAGGGATCTTTATCCATCAATTAGTTCTTCTCTTCCTGTCTCTTTAACGAGTCCCCAGTTTGCTCATTTCTGCTTATATTCAAGCAGTTTACATGTTAGGAGAAACCAACATACTGACTAACTACTTGTAATGCTATGTCCTAAATTATTAATGCTGCTGTTCATGACTAAGCTTCTAGAAAGAGTACTCTTATTGCTGTCACTTCCCATCTCTTATTGAATCCCCAGCTTACTTCAATTTATTTTCTGTCCTGATGGTGCTAGCAAAACCACCCTCAGCACTATGGAATCTATTAAAGGTCTGTTCTTTCTTCATTTCCATGCAGCTCTCTACCCAGGAACATCTTCAAACTCTCTCCAGCACTCCTTTCCCAGTTGTTTTCTGCCTCCTCTTAAATAGTTATAGTTTCCACAGATATTTTCATATATAGTCTCTTGGGAAATTTCAACAGTTTATACTGATAATTCCTAATACCCCCAACCTGTATCACCACTCAGAGCCCCAGACCCTTGTAATCTACTGATTACCAGTCCTTTTCCCCCTGGATGTCCCAAAGACACTTTACACTAACATGTGTAAACCCAAACATTATGCTCTCTCATGCCTACATTCTGCTCTGTTATGTGTACTTGCATTAAAGTAGAGCCTGGAAATCATTCTACATTTCTCTTTTCTCCTCAGTGTCTCCCCACCCTCCTTCCCTTCTCCACCTGCCCTTCCCTTCTCCACCTGCCCCAGCTGGGGTCTCATCATCTCCTGCCTACTACAGTCCCCCACCTCTAATCTTGCCTGCTGTTCATTTACCTCACAGCCACCACGATCTTCCCAGTATGGAAACTCTTTAATGTCCCATGTGTACAGACACTGGAGCGAGGTAGGCATGGGTGATTTGCTAAATTAACCACAAGAGTACCTTACAATTAGTACTAGGAGCATCTTATACTCCACAGGTAAGTTGGAACAGGAAAAGAAATTAAGAATCTTTGCCCCAGAGGACTATATTTATACTCAAGAGTCATCTAAATACTCTTCTTCGAATTTATTCCTTATTAAACAAGTTAGAAATGTAGAAATGCTTTGACTTATTGAGAGATTACACTATCATAGATGGTTAATGTGATACAAACGTGAACACTAAATTTATAACTAGTACCCAGCTAGCATCTCATAAATCTGTATAAGCAGATCCTACCTGGAAAGTGTTCCAGGGTATTCCCAGTGTAAAGTGTCATGGATTAATATCAACTGCATCCAGTAACAAGCACACTATGTAGCATAAGGGATCACAAATTTAGTAAATGACACCTCCATTTTGAGTAAAAAGTTCATACATTGGGAATTTCAGTGAAATGTATAAACACTTAATTCCTATCAAATTGTTTTGAAATGTAAATTGCTAGTAACATGTCTCGAACAAATTAACATAGCCTAAGGAATATGTTCAAGACATTCATTTTCCAGATGTTTTTTCCAGTTTCATCCCAAGTAAAAGCAAAAAAAGGTAAGAACTTCTTTAAAAAGGAAGCTCCTATAATTTATCTTTCTCTTATTCATTTGCACAGTATTTCTGTGTGAAAGCTAGTGCTTCAAAAGTCTTGTATCACTATGACAAAGCAAATTAAAGAGTTCAAGACACTATATCCTATGTAACAGTTACTAACACAGTATTTTAAATGACAGCATCAATAGGGCGCCTGGGTGACTGGCTCAGTCAGTTGAGCAGCGAGCTCTTGATTTTGGCTCAGGTCATGATCTCAGGGTCCTGGGATTGAGCCCTATGTGGGGCTCCCTGCTTAGCAGGAAGTCTGCTTGAAATTCTTTCCCTCTGCCACCCCTCTCCCCCGCGCACATGCATGCTCGCAAGCGCGCGCTCTCTCTCTCTCTGGAATAAATAATTATTTTTTAAAAAATTATGAATGAATGAATAAATAAATAAATAAATGACAGCATCAGTGCTCACAGACACAGCAAAACACCTCAGTGGTTCCCAGGGAGAGGGGCTGAGTCAAGGGGCACAGGGAGCCAGCAGAGCTGGAGGTGAGAAGCCTCCCAAGGTGAACAGGGCCATGCCCAGTGACAGCAGTAAGCATTTTCTACCTAAACAGGAGACACACTCCTCTTCTTTCCTTATGCATACAGACACCGCCACTTATTTCCTGGACAGCTACCTGACAACTGCCTTTGAAAGAACATAACCATTCACTCCATCTTAGTAAAATACAACTGAAATGCATAACCATAGAGAAAGAAGCTCAAGTTTGCTTTAGCTTCCAGAAGTTTCAGGGATAAAGTTTAAAATGCTGACATAAACAAGAAATGCCATCAATGTTGAGGAATAACAGGTATATCCATTTCTATGAATTAATGCTGACTTTAAGGGCCAATCAATTGTGCATCTAAAAAAATCTGAAGTTTTTCATGTTTCCTCCTATATTATCTCATATAAAAATTAAACTGTTTAATGGCAGCATTACTACCAAAATTTTGAAACATCGTTCTACTTACTTTACATTCTTCATTTTGATAAAGACAGTTTCTTAGAAGCTGCATAGTAATGCTTAACTCTTTAATAAAACCATCCTCCTGTTTAAAGAAAAAGCAGTTTAAAAATGTGAACACAACGGCATATTCCACTTTTTATATACAGCAATTCCTTCTGCTTTGGGTCACTTTACAATGCAGGTCCCAGGTACGCTCTCTTTGCACCTGATCACCGTAACTGTAAGGGGACTGACAAGCTAATGATCTCTGAAAGACGACCATATCTCAAGAAGCGCATCTGCCATGAAAAAGTTATTTCTGGTCTATCAAGCATGGAGGAACTGAGATATATAATAGGCTCCATGTTTCATCTCAATAAAGTGAAGCAGGTACTGACTGGTTTTCAATCATATCAGGTGTTGGCTGACTTTCTGAATGATGAAGTAAAGAACCTTTGCCTAGAGAAGGAAAAGGAAAAGAGGCAAGAAAAGAAACTGACAAACATGTAACCCCCTGCAGCAATAAAATTATTACATAAGACTTTTTCTTGGTTTCTTATCAAATGCAAGAGAAAGCAGTTACTGCACAGGTTGCTGCTATAATGGCCTTAGTTATATACATATATATGTATACTTACAAATTTACAAATACATATGAACTCATCTTCTTAATATGCCTGTATGGCAGATTTCTTTTTAACAATTATTATTACCATCACTATTATATAAAAACTGTGTTAACTTGAGCTTACATGAGCATGCATTTTGAACATGAGTCCGGTAAACTCAATGCTAGAAAGAGACATTCAAAAGTTATGGAAGGAATAAACAGAGATTAGGAATACCAGCTCTACAACCACCCAGCTACTGGCCTTCTCAGTTCCTAGCTGTATGAGTGTGTTGGACTTAGTGTTCATGAGATAACAAATATGACATGCTCACAACACTGCCTGGTATATAGAAAAGCTCAGTAAGTTATATCTCATTCCTAGGGAATCCATGCTTGCTTTGAGGAAAATACCTTCTTTTGTAGTATAAACAATTTGGTAAAATATCATACACACTTCAAAATGCTTATAATAACAAAAACATGTTAATACATAAATCTCATTTTAAGATCTTTAAGTGAAAATTAAGTCTCTCTGTCTCTCTCTCTCTCTCACACACACACACACACACACAACCCCAAGCCCAAAGTTGCTAATGCAGAAATCCCTTTATCTAACCTATACCTCTCTTCTAAATCAGGTACCCATTTGTACCAAATACTGATGTCATTTATAAGTATAGGAAATTGGAGAGATGGTCCCTAGGTCACTCCTTCATCCACCCAGATGTTTGGAATTCAGAGTTACCTGTTTCTTTAGGGCTGCTTTCCCAGGCCTGAGAGAATCTAGGTTCAGTTGTGCATTAATGTGCTTCATCTGCTCCATGCAGCTGTCTATTAGATCAGCTAAAAGATAAAATTGGAAACAATTAAAAGAGTATTCCATTCCCAAATAAGTTGAAATCACATATAACAAAGTCTCCAAAAAATAATGCTTTATATTTCTGACCAACTTCATTTTGATATTTTCAGTGAGAAATTAACAAATCAGAGAAAAATAAAGAGAACTATAATGTTTAACAATTCCAATGTTTTCAATTTAGTATGATACTCCCAAAATCTGCTTTATGTTTTGAGGCATGCATAATTCGCTTTAATAGCAAATCACAATTGAAATTACTAGACATGATGTTGCTATTATTCTCTTTAACTCTAAGACCTGTGTTACTGGATTACAGATGAAAAATCACAACACTCTAGAAGGGAAATTTATGTGAAAATACACGATCATCTAACACTGTTGTTATTACTATCAAAACTATGTGGTTTTTTTTTTCAACTATGCAATATGTGCTTCTGGTTACTAATATTTAATTATTATGAAACGGAGTGATGTGTTACTTCTTAAAGTTTCCCCAATAGGGGTGCCTGGGTGGCTCAGTCAGTTAAGTGTCCCACTCTTGATTTTGGTTCAGGTCATGATCTCAGGATTGTGGGATTAGCCCTGCATCGGGCTCCATGCTCAGCATGGAGTCTCCTTGTCCCTCTCCCTCTGCTCCTCCCCTCACTCATGCTCTCTCTCTCTCTCAAATAAAAAAGTAAAATAAAAAAAAAAAGCTTCCCTAATATTTATATATTCTCTAGATTAAGAATCATTACTCAAAAAATAATCTACATATATAACCTTTTCATTTTAAAAGTAATACATGTTTACTGTGTTTCTGTATGAGAAAAACTCTTTAGTCATGAGACTATAAGTTCTTTACATTTTGAATCCAAAGGAAATTAAAATACACAATCAGTAAAATATATGAATTGACAATATGCCATAAAAGTTAATGAGTCATGTGGCTCACCTTTCAAAGCATGTTTCTGAGCCCTTCTACTGACAGCCAGAAGTGACATCAATGCATTTGCAGCAACTCTTTTCAGGACATCCTTGGAGGATTTTCCTTCATAGCACTGCAAAGAATATATATCAAATTGCCTTGAAGAAAACTTAATCCGGAGCAAAACTATTGTGAATAAAAGATGTGGTGTATTTAAAAGGTATTGCTAGGTTTCAACTACTCCATGAAATTCACTGGAACTTGATAAAATCATTAAGATTTGAGACTGAGAATGCTCTGTGTGAAAAGGACTGTAGAAGAAACTTACAATATGGAAAAGAGCAACAATCATTCTCAAAGGCTCATCATGTAAAGGAGAAACTGTGCACTTACTCAATTTCACCAGGGAATGTACATACATATGTGTAACTTATTAAAAAGGGCCCTCAGAAAACTGATGAATAGGAAAACTGCCATCAAATTCCTCCTATCTTCTTCTTGAGACACAACCCCTCCCCCTCAATTTCCACCCAATATACCCCTGTACTTCAGGGGATGTGGTTCTTTCCATCCTGCATTTCTACAGTCACATTTATCTGTTATATTACGTGTTTTTCAAAAAAATATTATTTCTTAATTTTGTTGACTTATGTAATTTTTTTAAAAAAAATCACTTGTAATTTTGAAAATACTAATATTTTGGTATGTTTCTTTTATATAGTTCGTATTTGTAAGTTAAAAAATTTTTTATCAAAAATTTCAAATATGTACAAGAGTGAAGGAAACAGAATAACATACTCTCTCTTTTTAAAAATTTTGGGCTGAACTATTTCAAGTAAATACTAGATATCATATAATGTCATATTCCAGTATACATGACCATAAAGCCATTATCATGCCTAACATATTTAATAATTTATTGGTATCAACCTAATATCCAGTCCAAATTCAGATTTTCTCTTTTGTCTCAAAAATGTCTCCTTATGGGGCGCCTGGGTGGCTCAGTCGTTAAGCGTCTGTCTTCGACTCAGGTCATGATCCCAGGGTCCTGGGATCCAGCCCTGCATCAGGCTCCCTGCTCAGTGGGAAGCCTGCTTCTCTCTCTCCCTCTGCTGCTCCCCCTGCTTGTGCTCTCTCTCTCTCTCTGTGACAAATAAATAAATAAAAATTTTTTGAAAAATAAAAAAATTTTAAAAAGAGTATGTAAATGAAGATTACTTCTTAAGGCTGATAAATTAAGTACATTCACACAACAGTATAATTTTAAAAGTAGAATTTAAGAAATATTTTTTACTTAATCCGAGTTAATGATAAAAAGTAGTCAGAAGAGGGGCGCCTGGGTGGCTCAGTCGCTTAAGCGTCTGCCCATGGCTCGGGTCATGGTCCCGGGGTCCTGGGATCGAGCCCCACGTCGGGCTCCCGGCTCTGCAGGAAGCCTGCTTCTCCCTCTCCCACTCCCCCTGCTTGTGTTCCCTCTCTCGCTGTGTCTGTCTCTGTCAAATAAATAAAATCTTTAAAAAAAAAGTCTCCTTATGGTTGGTTTATTGGAATCAGCACCCAATAAAGCCCTCACATCCTACCTGTGTATCTCCTAAATCTAGAGCACTGGCCATTTTCACACCTCCCAACCCACCCACCAGGGTTTTTCATTTCGTTCCCCTCATATTGTTGAGTTGTTGAATAAACCTGAGCAGTCATCCTACAGAATGCCCCACATCCTGGGTCTGTCTGCTTGCTTCCTTGTGATGATCTGAACTTGTCTTCTCTATTCTGTGTTTCTCATTTACTGGGTACTGTAGTTCCAAAGGCTTAAGTACATTCAGGTGAAATCTTTTGTGATAAGATTCTCACTTGGATATACACATAAAGTTTAATTACAATTTCAAAGGGTTCATAAATTCCAGTGTAAGAACTAGAAGTTCCTGGCGGGGAAATCGGAGGGGTAGACAAACCATGAGAGACGATGGACTCTGAAAAACAAACTGAGGGTTCTAGAGGGGAGGGGGTGGGAGGACGAGTTAGCCTGGTGATGGGTATTGAGGAGGGCACGTTCTGCATGGAGCACTGGGTATTATGCACAAACAATGAATCATGGAACACTACATCTTAAACTAATGATGTAATGTATGGGGATTAACATAACAATAAAAAATTAAAGAAAAAAAAGAACTAGAAGTTCCTCATATGATTTCTAAATATTAGATATAATTCACATTCGTAATTTTTCCTTCTATCAGTAATTTTCAATGATCCAGTTTTATAATATCACATTAAAATTAAGCTCAAAATGATACAGTTTCACATAAAATATAGTATAGCATACACAGATGCTGACTGGCTGATACTTGACAATGTGACCATGGAGGAGCCTGCAGGGTTGGGGAGGCCCTTCCAGCCCCACCACCAGGGGCAGTGTGATTCCATCTTAAATACCTCCCTTAGGCTGCTGCCTCTATTTGGCCAATGAGTTAGATATTAAATGCCCAGACCCACGGATGCTTGATAAAGATCACTCTAATGTGACCTTGAAGACGGTGGGGGAAAGGCGGAAAATTATTTAGGATAATGAATATGCTTGGAGTATAATCAGTATAGTTAACTATGAGCATCCTAATTTGCCTATAAACTTAATCTTCACCACTAATAAGAAAACTGCTCCCCTATACACACCCTCATTGAACCTGCATGCATTAACGTTTTGAGGAAAACCAAAATGATTTCATTGAAATATATTACTCATCTACTCTCTACAGCAATGAGGGAGAAAAAAAGAGATAAGAATTCTAGGGAAACAATTGTGCACATAAATGTCTTTTATTCCCTCATGAAATCTCACTGAAATGATAGAAATGGGATTAAACACCAAGACAGACACACTCACTCACTCACACAAGTCTAGAAGCTAGAAAGCAGATGGATGAATAGCAAATGCAGTAGCAGGCTTGAGAAGGCAGAATACCACCCCTGTCCATACAATGAATTGCAAACGGCTGAGGAAATTTAGCACCAGGTATCCCTGGAAGTGATAACAAAGGAGGATTATTTGAAAAATCTCTGAGAACCAGTTTGATGAACAGATTTTGCCCACAACCCACCAATCTCTGCATAGCCAAGCCACTCTTCCTCCCCACCCCTTGCAAGAAGCTGCAGATTTAGTCTCTGGAGAAGCTAAACTAAAGCGTTCTAAACTGGCAAAGAGGAGGCATATTTGCGGGTGAGGGTATTACACTGAGAACAGGAAGGATTAAGTGAAATGTGCAAACTGATTTCTAAGACCCCTGCTCTCTTCCTCCTACTTTGTGGCAAAACACTTGGCAGCTGGGTTTTCACCTCCAAGCAGATCAGAAGATTCTTCTCTCGGGAACGTGACAAGCTCAAGAAGGCAGGCCACAAAAGGCGACGGCCAAATGCCCTTACATAGTACAGCTTTCAGTTGACAGGCTCCACTCTGATGTCCAGGGCTTCCAATCTGCTTCAGATCTCCCAGTTTCAAATGCAGCAGACAACCAAGATTACCAGATACGTGAGAAAAGCTCCTAACCAGAACGCAGAAACCAAAATAAAGAGTAAAAAAAGAAGAAAAGAGAAATTATGTAAGAAGAAAACTTAGTAAGAGTTCCAAACACATAGAACTCACAAAGTAGAGAGGATGTCAGTTAAGTGAAGGAGGAGTTCAGATGGAAAGAACCATCACGAGGGGAACCTGTGTGTAGTCAGTTGAGCTTTCGACTCTTGGCTTTGGCTCAGGTCATGATCTCAAGGTTATGAGATTGAGCCCCGTATCAGGCTCCACACTCAGCACAGAGGATGTCTGAGATTCTCTCTCCATCTCCCCCTACCCCTCCCACTCCTGCTCTCTCTCACTCTCTAAAATAAATAAATAAATCTTTAAAAGAAAAAAAAAAGAAGAAGAACCCTCAAGAGAGTCCAGCACAATGGATTAAATAGACCCCACCTAGAAACTTCATCTGGAAAATATCAAATGCTGGAGACAGAAAAAAATTCTTAAAACTCCCAGGGGAGAGAAAAATCATAATGGCTTCAGCCAGAAATCATAATGGCTTCAGATTTTTCCACAGTAACATGAGAAGTTAAAGGGAAGAGACAAGGCCTTCTCAATTCTGAAGTGAATGACTTCTAATCTAGACTCCTCACTAGACTAAAATATAAATTTAATGTAAGGCTAGAAAAAGACTCAGATGTCTAGATCTCAAAAAAGCCTCTTATGCACCTTTACTCTGGAAGGTACCAGACAATAGACTCTATCCAAAGGAAGGCAGGAACCAAGAAAGGAGAACATGGGAGACATGAGATCGAAGGAAAAGCAGAGAGGTAAAGGAATTCCCCAGGAAGAAGGTGAATGGAGATCCTAGGATCACACTGGGCACCACGCAGGTAAGAAGGAACTGGGAGTGACTTCTTCCAGAACAGGAAGCTGACATAAGTTCTGTCATGTCTGAATACACTGAGAGGACATTCGATTGCTGGCAAAGAGCATGGAGGTTACCAGTGATAACAGAAAACTCAGCAAATTTAAAAATAATACAATAATTATCTCTAAGGAAACAGGAAGCTGTGAAGTTCAACTGTGTCCAGCATTTTCACAGACTGACCACCACATGCTGCCTCCTCTCTAGCCACCATGAAGGTACAGGATAGCAGGGAAAGGAGAAGGGAGCCCACTGTGGCCAGGTAGGGCCGTGGGGCCCAGAAAGGGAACTCAAGTCTCATGTTCCAAAGCAGGAAGTCAACAGATAATGTTTAAAATGGAATAACCAAGGGGCGCCTGGGTGGCTCAGTCGTTAAGCGTCTGCCTTCAGCTCAGGTCATGATCCCAGGGTCCTGGCATCGAGCCCCGCATCGGGCTCCCTGCTCAGCCAGGAGCCTGCTTCTCCCTCTCCCACTCACCCCTGCTTGTGTTTCCTCTCTAGCTGTCTTTCTCTCTCTGTCAAATAAATAAAATCTTTAAAAAAAATAAATAAATGAATAAATAAAATGGAATAACCAAGATAGAGTAATACAAGCATGTTAGAGACATGGAAGGGAAACATAAAACAATCAACTAAAAGAGATACGAATAGTTGCCTCTAAGAAGAGGGAAAAGAAGGAAAAAGACAGAAGTCTTCTACTTTGGATACGAAACTTATAAACCTGTTTGGCACTCTAAAATGTATACACAGAAAAACGGATATGAAAGCCAAAAACTAAAAACAAAAAAGAAATAAACAGGATTAACATCTGGTAAATCCACCTACTGTTCAACATATACTGAAGGTTAGAGCAGAGGATTTAATTTCTACCATTTTCCATGCAGCACTCATTACAGACTGAAGAGTCGTTCCAAGCATCTGCGCACAGAGCAGGGGTACATGGCTCAAAGCACGAGAAGCCTGGGAGGCTAAGGTTCCATGTCAGATAGCTGAAGTAACAGACAACTAGCCACTGGATGATGCAGACACACAAAAGAGGAGAAATAAATCAAGAGGATACAGAGCAAGAAACAGCATGTCTTTTTGCCAACCACAGGAAGAAAGAAAATCAGGACTCAATGTAATTTATTTAAATTTTATGCTCTTTTTAGATCTAATTCCTTCTATACATTAAGTGATCTAGGTCTTCTAGGTCAAGACTCTTTGCTTTTTTTCCAAAAGGCATGATATAAAGAACGGGGTTTTTAATTACAGTGAACATTCACTGACACAGCCGTATCTCAAATAGATAAGCCTTTTCTCTCCAACGGATTTACTCTTGAACTTCACCATTCACTAAACACTCGTGCAAAATCTATCTCCTAAAATGTGAAATAAGAGTTTGTTGTTTCCTTCCATTACTATCCTTAGATATCAGACCAAATATAAGGAGCAGAATTAATTCAACATCTCAATTATGAGCAAAATCTATTACTTATATGTCTTTGCAAATGAATCAATACTCAATATGAGTATCTCACTAGGGAAGGCAAAATCCCCATTAAGTCAAAGGTGTTCATTATGTTATGGTCAACAGAAAATATGGTCTCTATGGCCAAAAGATATATATCATAGGACATATATGTCAAAAGACAGACTAGTTTCTAATAGAATATTCAAATTCTCAAACCTCCTCAAAATGGAATTATGAAAAAATAAACTTGCACATAATTTAAGATATAAATACCAAATGCAAACTTTCAATACGTATCCCCTATGGGAGAGTACAGTAAAGCAACCATTTAAAAGATTCTCTGCCAAGACCCCTTAATTGAAGTTACAACGTAACAATCTATCAGGAGGATGGAGTTTTAGAGCCAGCTTATACAAACTTAATACAATCCTCTCATTTTGCATTTGCATTTTAAGAACTGAATTACAAAAGGTTAAGTGATATGCTTAAGGTCACACATCTAATATTTCTGAGTAAGGTTTTATAGAGAATTGAAATAAACCTCTGAAGTCACCAATTTTAGTATACTCTTTCTTCTGACCAAAGACTGTACTTTCCTTTCCTTTGTATACAATCTGGCACGACACACAGCCTACATGCACGTATAGTAAGACACATATGTAATTTATCATTATGTGTTGCTGGCTCATGTATTTGAATAACATTTTAATTCACATATTATCTTTATATAGGGCAGAACAAAGAAAACACAGCGTTTGTAGTTTTAAAAAGCTCATTAATAAATGTCCCATCTCATGGGAGGCATACTTCTTCTCATTAGTATGTCACAGGGACACTTCCTTTCTTTACTTTCTTTGTCTTAAACTTGCTTGTGCCCTTCTAACAAATGTCACGTATTTATATTCTACTGTTTACGTGAACAAGAAGAGTATGATTTATTAGGAAAAACAGCTTATATAAGTGGTTAAAGTGTCCATATCCACACAGAATACTTTACATCTTTTATAATCTGGAGGAAATGGAGAGGAAAATTGGCTAGTCATTAGGAAAATCACTGAGATACCCTGTGGCTCTAGGATACCTCGTTTTCTTTGGCCAAGAAGGTAACAGCAAAAGATTATAAATGATAGCTTTAATAATGAATATTATAAAATATTAAGGAAAAATAAGGAGCAAGGTAAATTTTAAAAATTCCTGTGGCACAGAATTTTTCCTATGTACATTTATTTTAATCTGGTGCATCAACCAACAGGGACTCATATTTATCACAAGCCTAATCACGATTCCTTGAAACAGCATGACCAACAAGGGAGAGAAAGCAGCTAGGAAATAAAACAGCTTTGGTTTGGCCTGGCTGGAGGTCTTTACATTTCACCTGGTCCAGGAGGACTGGCTCCAGGACTCACGGTCATGGCTATGGTCAAGGCTCCCAGAGCTACTGGGCATTCCTGGCCTGGGCAGGGGAGAGGGGCAGGTGCACTCCCCTCACTGAGGGCAAGAAAAGGATGTGGGACTTCAGGAATCATTTACATTCCCTGAAGGGGAAAGTATGTCCTTAAGAGTGGTAAGATCGGTAAGATCGAAGGCCCCTTCCCTAGGGAAAAGAGCTCCACTAAAGCCAAAGTTAGGAGATTAATAATGCTTTTGAATTGGGGGAAGACCACTGTAAAGGTGTGAATTTGAGTGTCCTCTTATAATATTCTTTGAAGTGCAAAATCAGACTCAGTTAATCAAATAAAGCCTGTTGTTCTGATGGGGACTGAGACAACTGGGACATTATCCAGCTTTGGTTTTAAGCTATGAAGAGCTGAGTGGACTGAGGGAGGCTGTGGCCTCCCAAGAGTAAGTGACTTTGAGCAATGCTGTGAGGATCTTTTCCCCCTTGAGTTTCAGCTTCTGAAGGAGCTCCTGGAGACAGGAGAAAATGTCAGGGGACCCTTTATCAGTCTCCTTATCTTTGCTCTCAAAGTAACTGTAGTCTGTTGGGCAAAGGAGAGGGAGACAAAAAGCCCCCCGAGAGCTCTGAGCCCCACCTTCAGTGGGTAGGTTTGAGCTGGACCAGCAGCCGTCCTTGCCTCTATCAGCCTCGTCTGCTTTCCAACATGATGGGAACCGCTGCACACAAGGCACGAATGGTCATGCCAGCAAGATCTGCACAGCCATAACTCCCACAGGCAGAAAAGGGGCAAAAGTCCCCAAACTCAAAGCAGCAAAGAGACAGCAACAAATCGGCAGACTGGAAAAACCTTCTGTCTTTATAAAATGTGGCTGGCTGACTAGGGGAATGGAAGCAAATCCGTCAAGGTACAAGTCTATTTCTTTTCCACCTTTCAGCAAGAAGATAAAAATCATAAACCATGATTATTAAAAAGAGAGATTCTTAATATTGAAAAATCTAGCAATTTCCTATTTGTAAAAATGACTACACAACTTAGGAAACACTTCAAGGTTTTTTTGGTTAATCTATTTATAAAATCACACTTTAGTGATTTTAGAATGTTTTTCAATGAACAAAATTCTTGGTTCATATTTTAGGACTGCAAAAAGTAAGTTTATAAGGCAGCATGGTTTAGAAAGGGGGCATTTTCTCATAAATGTACCAACTAACTCCGCCTACCTCTATAGACAAACCACCTTAAATATATGTAATTCACTTACATAAATCAAATGTATGTTCAGAGATGTAGACATGTCTTTAAAATGGCAAGACATTATGAATTATACCTTCATTCCTGCAATATAACCATTTTGGTCATGACATGGCACACTACATTTTGGTAAACTGCTGGATTTAGATTTCTAATATTTCATTTTGAATTTTTATATCATAATCATTAAAAAAGCTAGTCAACATCAGAGGACCAGGACTGGAGAGGAGATGGTTAATTTAACTTTATATGCTTTTGTTTCATTTAAATGGTCATAATGAACATTAATTCAAATGATTGAAAAAAATTTTTATAAGGCCAAGACTGAAAGTTGATTCACTTAAATACTAAACAAAGTTTTTGAAAGGTCAAGAAATCACATACCTGAAGAATTACTTCATTAAGTCGTTCTAGAGATTTCTGATTTTCCTGAGTTTTATCAAGAAGTGAAGCCATTGATGGACGGTGGCATACATTTGCTTTATCCTGATCTTGGAGATGCCTTTTTGCTTCCTCAGTCAAGAGAACAGAAAGGAATTGCAGGCTGGCGGTAGATAACGCAGGGCGTGTGGTAGACAAACCCACACATGTGCACAACATATCTGAGAGAGAGAATACCTTAAAATGTTTGAAAATGTCTTCAAAATTAAAGAAGTGAATCAGATCAATTTGAGTAATTAAGTTTATAGCCTTTTTATTTCTAATGAAGTAAAGCTATCAATACTTGTAAGTATCACAAGAATAACTCTAGTGTTTAAAAGTAATTTAAACAGTCAATATTAAGACAACAGAATCAAGGAATCTATTTAATTCTCATTTTATTCTTTTTATACGGGTTCTTTTTGATATGAAAGAGTGTGTTTGCGTATGTGTGTGTACACATGCACATACACACGGGGTGCCTGGGTGGCTCAGTCGTTAAGCATTCTGCCTTCGGCTCAGGTCATGATCCCAGGGTCCTGGGATTGAGCCCTGCATCAGCCCCGCATCGGGTTCCCTGCTCCGCGGGAAGCCTGCTTCTCCCTCTCCCACTCCCCCTCCCCCTGCTGTGTTCCCTCTCTCACTGTGTCTCTGTCAAATAAATAAATAAAATCTTAAAAAAAAATGCACACACACACAATATTTGCTAAGACCCAAAATAAGAGGATTATATATAGATGAGTACTGATTCCCTCTGGGGTCTTTTTGGGATCCACAAAGTCTCTGGAGTTTTTAACTTTTTAATTTTTATTTCAGTGCTTACGAAACAAAATTTCATGTAACTGTACTCCGAATTATCTAGATCACCACCGCATAATTGTGTTTCTGTTTTCAAACAAGTTGATGCTAAACAGTACTTACAAGAGTTAGTATGCAGTGTTGGCATGGTGCAGAAACAAACGTTTCATGGTAGTTCAGAATACAGAACAAAAGTGGTTATGCACAAATTTGCAAACATAACACAGATTAGAAAGAATAGGCAAGCCAACTTAAAAGACTCTACACTGAATCAGTCATTATTAATTTTCTGTTATGATCACTGATTTCATCAAAGAAACATTTGATGCATATTAATTTTATTAATTTGAGTACAACTGGTTTGTAATTTTGTTATGTTTTACTTTTATATCATTTGGAATTTATACTTCTATAAGAGTTATAACCATAAGAATTTCTACCTACATTTAGGCTAAAAGAAATTCTTATTTTCTTAAGTAACACAAGAAAAATAATTTAGTGAGAGTGGCGTTTCGTGAGAATTATGATCATTTAAATGATGTCTAAATATGACTCAGGTCTGAGAAAAGACTGTTCTAGATAACACAAGTTACAAAGTGATCATAAGATGTTTTAAATATGTACGAGCATATGGGATGGAAACTAAAAACAAACAAAAACAACTCCATGATAAGGAATAGCAACAATCATTTTTATTAGTTATGTTTTCATAAACATTACTATTATCAAAGCTAGCTGTTTATGTAGTAACTTATTTCTGATTAGCACCATATTATATAAACTGTGTGTGCGTTTTGAATAAGGACACAGTAAACTCAGAAAGATTCTGAATTCTTATTTTATCACTAGGGAAAGTGTCAGGTAAGCAGGCTTAAAGCAGGGACCAGCAAACTTTTTCTGCAAAGGGTCAGAGAAGAAATGAGTATTGTACGCTTTCCAGGTCGTAGGCCTTTGTCATAGCTATTCAACCTGACCACTGTAGCAGGGAAGCAGCCGTAGGCAACATGTAAATGAGGACAGGTGGCAGGGTTCCAACACAATCTTATTTACCAAAACAAGCAGCGGGCCACATCTGACCACTTGGCTTAGGTGTCCCACATTAGTACCGTGCTTTATGTTAGCAGTGACTCAGGTGGTAAACTAAATTTCCCCACAATGGATGTAAGAAAATCTCAATTAGTCAATCTCTTTCAGCTTTAATCTCTTTTAACAAAATAATGATTTCTAAATGGACACTTTTCCTCTTAGGTAAACTCAGAACTCCTATCTTCCAGATAACAAACAATTTTGCTTCTTACTGAACATGTATTTCTCCATAAAACTTACTTCAACACTACCACTCTGGTTACAAAATGTACCATCCATCTAAATCTATAGAATGACCAAATGATAAACTAAAATGTGAAAAAAACAAGTTGACTGAATTAGTGGTAACTTGGAAGCTTAAAAGAACTCAATTTTGAATACATTTAAACTAGCCATTTTTAAAAAGTAACATAAATGTTATTTATATGCATTTATGTTTAAAAAAAGTCTTCTTGCTATGCTAAAATTTGAAAGAGACCTTATGAAAAATTAGTAGTTATTTAAAAAAATTTGTTTATGCTAGTTACTTATATGGAAAACATCTTCTAAAAATACTTAACTATACTACACTCTTAACCATTTCTGTACTATAAGAAAATCCTTGTCTTGACACAAGACACTATTTTTATTATAAGTTTCCATGTTATCATATATACAGAATTTTAGGTGCAGGTTTACCCACTTATAGTGCATATATGTCAGGAAAGAGACTGGTTTCTACATCAACAAAAGGAAAATCTTTCTCATTGTTTTATAATCATGTCACATCACATGTCTCTTCATAATACCACAGGATTTTCTTAACTTGTTTTTATAGTTTTTTGAACTGGGTTTCAATTTTTCAAAAATGCATTTTTGAGGCTCCTCAAGAGCACTCCAAATTTCTCAAAGTAAATACCTGGTTTCTCTTTCAAATGCCATGCCGTAATTACTTAATTTTAAGAAAAAAATATATAAAAATTGTAAATAATGATTATCTTAATTTTCATTAGCAGAAAGATCCACAGCCTAGTGCGAGTATCTTCTTACCGATCACCGCCGTCCAGTGCTTGGCCAGACCTGCTGTCATAGACGGGAGAGAGGCAATAGCAGCTTTCCTCAGGAGTGTAGCCAGAAGGTTAAATAAATGTGTCCACGTGTGATAAAAAGCCGACATCAACTCTACATCTATGACATTAATGAAAACAATTCAAGTTATTAACACAAAGAATAGGAAATACAAAGCTCACCAGATACTTCATTACACTTAAGAGGCACGCACCTGTTAGACGAAAACAAATGTAATTCAGCATGATCCAAAATTTATTTATTTTTTTTTTAAAGATTTTATTTATTTATTTGAGAGAGAGAGAGCACATGAGAGGGGGGAGGGTCAGAGGGAGAAGCAGACTCCCTGCCGAGCAGGGAGCCCGATGCGGGACTCGATCCCGGGACTCCAGGATCATGACCTGAGCCGAAGGCAGTCGCCTAACCAACTGAGCCACCCAGGCGCCCGATCCAAAATTTATTTTAATTAACTTTTTCACTGCTTCTTAAAGTTCTCTCTCATCTACCCCTACATAAAGACAGATACACACTCATGCATCCTCCTCTCATTAACACATATTTAGTAACAATTCAGAAGGTATGACAAGTCATAACCTAGGAAACACACATTGTGCATACTATAAAAGCATGGCATTGTTTGTGCTACTTTTAATAAAGTAAAGTTTCTCCTGTTGTCTTTATCCTCTTTATGCAGGGGTGAAAGAAGAAAGCCCAATGTGCCAAGGTCATGGCAGAGAAGAAAGGAGAATTTCATTAAACAACCAAGAGTACTGCCCCTCAGTGAAAACATGACACTAAAGAGGATTCTGCACCTTTGCCTGTGGCTGAGAAAACAGCAATTAACCTTCTATTGTAAGGACGGCTTTCCCTTCTCTCCACGTGGCAAAGCGGGGTTCCGGAGAAGCAGTAATCCTAGGACTATCTTCTCTGACCACGCCACCGGTACTATCTGGCGGCTTTTGCCAAACTCTGTTACCAAGCAAACTAAGGACTTCCATTTCAGGGTTCTTTTGGAAATGGCATATTCCAGGAGTTCGGATTATAGCAATCCTTGGTGTGTGTCTCAACCATTTTGTCATTCTCAGCTCTATAAGGAGTCTTTTCAGACATATGTTTCCTCCTCATCATCCCCATGAAGTTTTAATTCCATAGATTCTGTATATCTATATATCTGAATACAGATTCAGTATATCTGTACTTTATGCATAAAAAGAATTAGGTATAAAGCTTACTGATTTTAGTCAAGATAGCCAAATAAAATATTTAAGTTAAAAGTTAAAATTAAAAATTGAAAAGCAATTAACATTTAACTTAACTTTATAACTACTTTTGCTAAATAACTTTCAATATGGTTTACTTGCTCCTATAAAATGTATTGAATTACATATGAAAATTAGCAAATCATATAAATATATACTAGAAAGATAATCAATATTTTATAAAACAATTCACAACTACTTTTCCAGAAAAATTTTTAAAACTCATTTCTTAAAAAATTGTTACTGAACTTTTACTTTTTGCTAGATATGAGAAAATGACTTCTAACTTAACCAGCTGCCAGACATATACTCAGGTATCAGTGACATTTTTTACTTTATTTTCAGCAATTGACGTAATTAATGATGGGCCAATTAACTTATATAATAATAAAACATATACTATTTGTATTTAATTCTCAAAGCCCAAGTCACACACAAAAGCAAGAGAATCAATTAAAAGAACAATCCACAAGTCAGCCAATGACAATCAAGACATGATATGACTCTGGGATATCTGGCCATATGACTTTGGGATCAAGTGTTGAATCAAAGTCCTCCAGTCACAACCATCTATACACTACAGTTTTTAGCAATGATATTTATCTCCTGTTTATCTTCTCTGAGCTCAATATCAGTGCCTCCCAAGTGATATCTAAGAAACCCAACAAGAGAAATTAAATACTAAGGAATAAGATTTTATTGGGTAGAAATGAGCTCTGAAGGGCCACAAACCATTGTAACAGCTAAGATTTTTTTCCCCCACCCCTTTCCCCCAAGATTCAATTTTTGTTTCTTGAGGGGTGATATCACCCTCATAGTGAATGCATGGTCTATCCTGATTTGCTTAGTTAGGACATCACTACCACCTGTAAAATTTCCAAGTAAAGAATTACTATTCTTCTAGCACCAGAATATTTTAACACTAATGAGACACTGAGGACTAGATTTGCTGGCATCATAAAACATTTCACTCACCTAAAACCAAACAAATCTATAAAATTCAAAAACCTAAGTAATAATTAACATGCAAAGAGCCATTTAGCAATAGCCAAATTATCGATTACTTCATTATAAAATCTTTTAATTATTGTATTTTAATTCTGTTAAAGATTCTATATTGTTTTAATTTTCTCTTCTATTAAGTGCTCTAATGCAACTTTTCATCAGAGTGTATTTTTCAATAATTTAGGACTTTATCAAAATGTTTGATATTATATGCTACACTTACTGATACTTGTTATTGCAAATAAGTTATTAGTAGGTCATTTGGCTGTACCCATAGCTTATAAGAATAATTACTACCTGAAACTCACTGTACTTGCTAATATTACATACAGAACTTTCCCCTCATTTAAACTGGACAGCACAGGGGATATTCTTTCACTATACTACATATTTGTCTCAAATGGTTTCCTGGAACCACTTAAAAGATCCAAACTATAAAACACATTATAAAAGCCTTCCAAAATATTGGCAAAGCACAACATAAAATTTAACCTTGAAGTGAGTATCTGGTGCAGAGTAAGACTTTTTTCCTCAATATCATTTGCTTCCATCCTAAACTTAAAGAAATAAAGCTTACCTAAGACATCTTTGGTGCATATGGTGAGGACCCCAATGATGTTTGTGATAAGAGGTTTCAGAAGCTCATCCTGAATCACAAGGTTGGGATCTACCAATAAACATGACTGCAGAAGCCTGGACAAAGATGACAGGTATTCTAGGAGAAAGGATACCTATTTGAAAAAAGAGATAAAGGAAAACAAAACATATTATATGAAAAGTCTAGCTCAGTGATATTTCAGCTTTCTATGCATTATAAGTTACTTTCTTTGTAATGTATGTTAATAAAAAACTAAAAATATTAATCATAATTTTTAAAGATCTAAAAGGAATGCATAGCACAAAGTATTCTCATAAACATGCCATTAATGACCACATTAACACTGTCAAGTATAATAATACCAAACAAAGCAGTATTTTCAAAGTCAAATTTCAAATTCCATTGAGAGAAAGAACACCTTTATAGTTTTTAAGTAGCTAAACTGTGGAATCAATATATTCTGGAAGTAGAAAGGGGCATTCCAATGCCACATATCATACAATTTTATAAAGAAAGATTACAAAATACTCTTCAACACATCTCCTATCAGGTAAAATGCAAGTTTGTAACATTTAATTTCCTTATTGCTATGAAGTCTTTTTTGTTGCCTTTGTACTCTACTGATTGCAGTTACAGCAAGTCTGACTCTGATGCATGAAGTGTTACCAGAAACAGATAAGCCATGGAAGGTGAGACCAACGAGAAGCATCCGAGAGAGAACCACAGAATCACTGAAGCCTCTCACGAGCCCATGCGCTCCGCCCAGCCACACTCGCCACTTCCTCGGCGCCTCTACACTCTCAGCTCAGATCTCACCCTTGTGAGGCCTCCTCTGACCACCCTGACAAAACATAGCACGCTCTCCCTCTGCCACACACCCTTTCACCCACCCTCGTTTTGCCCATACCATTTGTCACCAGCTGATAAAACACTTCACATTTTATTTACTGCTTACTGTCTTCTGCACCGAGGACAGAATTCATGTGGGGAGGCATGTGTGTTTGCTTTGTTCACACCTCTGTCACTGGCATCTAGAACATAATCTGGCAGAGAAGAGGTTCCAGAACTTTTCTGGAATGAATGAGTAATCTTGTGTGAGGACAAACAGCCAAGAAGCACTTAACCTACAGAAGGTCAGGTGATGAAGTGAGTAAGAGTGTAAGTTCTGGAACCAACCTGTATGAGCTGGAATCCTGGCTCTGCCCCTTTCTATGTGAGCAACCCTGGACATTTCCAGTCATTTATTTTTAAAATGAGGCCACTAATGATACTTCATGTGACTATTGTGACGATTACATAAATTAGTACAAACAAGCACTCCGGAAATGTGTGCTACTGTTGTTATTCATTCATTCCACAAGTACTAAATGAGCACCTTCCATGGGACAGGCACTGCGCTCAGCATCCAGAATACAACTGATATGTAAGAACAGGCAAAGCCCTGCCTTCATGGAGCTCACCGCAGCCTCCAACCTCATCTCCCCCTCACAGATTCACTCTAGCTACTCTGGCCTCCTTGATATTGTTTGGACAGACCAAACATATCCCAATCTCAGGGGTCCTGCAGTGTCCCCCAGGACTAGCTTCCTCACATACTTCAGGTTACATGTCCCTGTCTGAAAGAACCTCCCTGACCACCCTAAGTGGAAAAGCCTTAACCTCCCAGCTCTGATGTCATTCCCTGTCTCCGGTTTTAGTTTTTCTTCTCAGACGTCTATCATCAGCAGGTACATATGGATTTGCTCATGATCTGCTCTCCCAACTTGAGGGGAAGAGTATTTATTTGCACAGGCAAGATCCTGGTACACAGTAGGCCCTCAATAAAAATTTGCTGGATGGATAGACAGTGAAATGGAGGAGATAGTCTTATGCAAATAAACACACTCAAAAGTGAAGACACTGCCCTGGGAAAAGTGTTTTGAAGATGATGCACACTGTGTTACCCAACCTTGTAAAAGGGTTGTCTGCCCTATTCAGAAACCTCAAAGACAGCACCACAAAGCAAGAGATACTGGTCTGTTCCACCTTTAATTATCACACTAAATAAATCTTGTAGCCCTTCTTAAAATCTGATTTGAGGTAACATTTCTATTAGCAACAACTACACAAGGAATTGTTAAGCATACTTTACATAAAGATGCTAGCTACAAGCAAGAACTTAAAAATAGTAAATATCTGTAAAGGAACAAAAATAAATTTATTTTTATTAGATTGGGTTTTGAAAATACAAAGAATTTAATCACCATGTATTTTAACAACTTCAATTTAGGTGAAAATGATAGACATAGTCTAAAATCATAGAATGAGAAGGTGGTCTATACAACGTCCTCTTTTTATAATATGGTGCTCAAAGATATCCAGATCTGTGGGTAAACATTTATAGCTGGTTAATAATGGAATCAGGAAGAGAATCTAAATCTTTAAACCCTGCTGCTTTATTTCACCATGCAAAGATGTCTCGGATTAAAATGTTATGTAACCTATTTCAAGTAACCTCATCATACCATGTATATCCTGAAAGATTTCCATCCCTCTCCTATGGTTAGTATATTCTTGGCAGAATTTATGTTTCTGGCACTTAAAGCAAACAGACATGAGCGAGAGGGAGACGTGACACTTACCTGAGCCTGAGTGTGTTCAACTGGAGGTGACAAAGGCAGTGGAGCCTTCAGCTCCTGGACACAGCTCTCTAGGAGGGTGGCATCTGCAATACTGCGAAGAAGAGAAAAAATAAAAAAAGAAACCCCTCCAGATGAGGAGTATGCTGCTTATTAAAAATTAATAAATTAGTATTTGAAGTTTGAATATAACCTTGAATAGAATTTAGGAGAAAAGATCTTTACAGAGAACAAACTGATGGCTGCCAGAGGGAACATGGGTGGGGGTGTTGGGGAAGGGGAGTGGGAGATAGAGGCCTCCAGTTATGGAATGAGTAAGTCATGGGAATAAAAGGCACAGCATAAGGAATACAGTCAATGATACTGTAACAGCGATGTAACAGGACAGGATGGTAGCTCTGCTTGTGGTGAACAGAGCATAACACATAAATCTGTCGAATAATGAAGATGCACACCTGAAAGTAATGTGACACTGTGTGTCAACTATACTCAAATAGAAAGTAAAAACAAAAAAGAGAAAAGATTTTCATAAAGACAATAAATGTATACAAAAAGGTATCCTATAATATTTTAGAACACAGGAAAAGATCTTGTCCAATAAACATGGGAAGCAAAAAATATCTAATGAAAAGCAGAATAAAATATAATGAAGCTCTTTCAGAAGGAAAGCAAACAAAAAAAAACCTTGGTGGTTAGTTTCCTCTGTAAAATAGGAAAAATACTTGCTAGGAAATAAGTTCTGATTTAGAAAGTAAAAAACAAAACAATGCAAAACAAACAGGAAAATTGTTTTAAGTCAGGAATAAAGAACAGGTACAGAATATGACAAGCCTTTGCCATAAAAGATCCTTTAATAGCTCTGTGGCCTCAATTTCACAGCAGACTCTTAGCTGACTCTTGAGAAGCCAGAGGATTCCCAAAGCTCCATTTTGATTGTTCTCGAGGCAGGAAAACATCCACAGGGAAAAGGCAATCGACTAGTGGGTTCCTTTTCCAACTCTAGTAGGTCTCACAGTAGAAAGATGACAAGGAAATATGAACAAACTCACACACCACGGCTTATTATAAATGGTAAACGAGTAATGAAAAGTGAGATGAAACAAGGGATATTTCTTTCTTTTTAGAGTTTTCTTAATATCCTGAAAAGAAAAAGAAGGCACTGTGATTTGGCAAAGAAGAAGAAGAAATTTCATATGGCGAATGTTCACAGGCAGAGAAATGCAAACGACTAAGTGGTCAACAGGAGGAGGTACACTGGCTATCTGGATGTGGGAAGAAAGAAAAGGAACAGTTACTATAAAGAAAGAGCGTCCCAGACATCATCACTTAATCCTCACACTAACCCCACTAAACAGATGTTATTAATGACACCCCAGAGATTAAAATAACTTCCCCAAGACTACAATGCTAGGGAGCGAATGAACTATAATCAGACCTTAAGTCAGGCTGATTAAGGATCTACAGCCTTTTTTACTATACCATATAACCAATATGATCATCCAAAGGTCCTGCCATATAAGCTCATTAATATAGCTAAATGAAAGAACAAAATCATGATTTCCTAAATTTTATCAGAGTACTTTCTTTTTTTTTTTTTTTTTTTTTAAGATTTTATTTATTTATTTGAGACAGGGAGAATG